ATACTTACAAACACATTCATACGGTTTTCTAAAATTTATAATTTTTTTGCTCCAGATTAAAAGTATTATCATGGCGCAGAGTTCAATCAAAGAAGCCACCGTCAACAAGTGGATCAAAGATAATCCGGAGCTATTTTACGACCATACAAGTGGATTAATTTACTGCTCTAAATGCGAAGCACATTTGAATGCAACTCGTCAGAGTAACATTCAAAGACATGTAGAAGGAGCAGTACATAAAGGCACGAAGAACGAGCGCCACACTCCTTTAGAATTTTACTTCGACTTAATCGAATTTATGATTCTTTGTAACATACCATGGTCCCAACTGAGCAACAATGTATTTAAAACATTTTTTCAAAAGTACATGTGTTGCAATTGCAAAAATATTGAACTACCTAGTGAATCCTTATTGAGAAAAGTTTACCTGGATCAGCTTTTTAAAATCAAAGCACAAGAGATGCAAAGTAAGATTGTAGATAAAAAGCTATGGCTTTCAGTAGACGAAACTACGGATTTCTTAGGAAGAGCTGTCGTACATCTGTTGGTGAGACCATTACAACCTAGTAGGTGCCATCAGCCTTACTTAGTGGCATGTAAAATGCTAGATACTGTAAATGAAACAACGATATCACAATTTGTTCAACATTCTTTAAACAATATGTGGGGAAGTTCATTTGCGAGCAAACTAGATAACGTTAGAATGTTATGTACAGACAGTGTGGCATACATGATATCAGCTGGTAGAATTTTAAAATCAACTTTTCCAAAAATGTTGCATTTCATATGTTTAGCCCATGCTCTAAATCTTGTTGCGGGGCAGATTAGAAAAGAGAACCCTAATGTTGACATTTTAATTTCAAATACGAAAAAAGTTTTTTTGAAGGCACCAAAAAGAATTAAAATCTTTAAAGAAATGTGTCCGGATTTACCTTTACCTCCTGCACCTGTAATTACCAGATGGGGTACTTTGCTTAATACAGCATTCTATTACGCTAAGCATTTCGATGAAATTAAATCTGTATTGTCTGTGCTGAACAGTCAAGAGGCAAAATCAATAGAGAATGCTTTCAACATTTTTAATAATAATGACAACATTAAGGATGATTTGTCTCGTATTTACGAAAATTTTTCAATTATACCAACAGCTTTGACATCACTTCAGAAGCCCGATCTTTCTCTAATGGAATCATTTGAAATATTTGATGCAGTGAGATTAGCTTTGAGATGGGCAAATTGTGAGAGCTTAGAAGATAAAATGGAAAAAGTCATGGATAGAAATCCTGATTTGGACACTATCAGAAATATAGCAGAAAAAATTTCTTCCTGCACTAATGACGAGGAGGAGGAAGTGTATAAATTTGCTAACCTCACCTCAGTTGACGTAGAGCGATCTTTTTCAATGTACAAATGGATTTTAAATGTTCGGAGAAATTCATTGAAGCCAAAAAATATTGAAAAGCTTATGATTATATATTTTAATTCTCACAAAAGTTATACAGTAATGTCGGAAGCGAACACTTCAAATCTTACTGGTAATCAATCGGACAAGGAAAATGATTCTGATGGGTCGTTTGAATAGGCAAAACCTCATGAGTCTAGGCTAGAAGCAAAAGTATTCGCTCGTATTTATAAAAAAGGCGAAATATGCGTATGGGAATTTGCTTAAGACTATCAATAATTTGTATTGTAAATTAATGTAAACTAATAAAAATTTTATGCTAATTATCTTTGTTATCTCTGACGTTGTTATTATTATTTAGTTGTAAGATTGTTGGCCACACGGGATTGTCAATTAGAAATCCCGGGAAGGTCCACATTAATATCAACATTTCGATGCAAGTACATAAATAACTCTACCTAATTCCGACCTCTGCTTATCACGCACCCCAGTGTTAATATTTTGTGGTCTGACGAAGTACTATTGATGAGAACTGGACTATACAACCAACATAACAAAAATTGATGGTCGCGTAGGAATTTCCACATGATAAGGGAATGCCATCATCGAGGAAGGATTAGTAGACAATAACTCGTGCAATATTCGTAAGTATACTTCAGAAGCAAAATTTCATTTATTGTTCTTAATTTGATTTTAATTTTTCAAATTATTGTATATAGTTTAAGCCATATAAGCTGATGAATGATCTTTTAAGTACACCTGAACGCAAAAGGATAATAAGTACTTAGCTTATTACTAATTTCGTTTTTTATGTTTTAAGCCTTGGTGCGTTTTTGTGCTTTCTTTTTTTCATAAGTTTTTTTTATTTATTTTTTTTTATTTTTTTTTATATAAAGGAGTGCAAATGACTGCGCTCCACCTGATGGTAAGCGGAGTTAAGTAAGTTACTTCCTCTTTCTATTTTATCATAGTAGTCAGTAGTCTGATATATGAATTTCCGTATTTTGATGTATGACATTGCTCCCTCTGTTGTTTACCGTACTATTTGAATGAGAAACTATCTTAAGAAAAATAAAGAAAGCACTAAAAAACATCTCACTAAATGGCGTTACCAAAAGTTGATTTTTGCAGGAAACGAATGGCCAAAGACAGTCATTTCCGTTCTTTTTAAGTAACATATTAAATAACAGAAATGTGCAAAGTTCGAAACTTATATATCAATACAAATACGAAAAAGTACCAAAAGAATATGAGTTGTTTATTGAGTTTTGAAAATTAATTTACTTTTATACATGAAAGAAAACCGGAAAGGTTGTCTTGGATAAATCAAGAAAGTACCGTAGCGACATCTAGTTTGATTTCGGAAACTATTTTTTTAAATTTTTCCTATATTCCTATTAAATATGTCAAGGCGACATATTTAGTAGCGTGTGATAAAATAATAATATAAAATACCAAACAATAAAGCATTTTAAGTTTGGTATTTGTATCTACTCTTGTTTAGTTTATAAAAATGAACTACAAATTGTATGTATAAGTACAAATTTTGCGTAACTTTAATAACACTTTTGACATGACAGCTTCCTGTTTACGTATGACTTCATATACTGGTATAGAACCCCTTTATTGGTTGCGACGACAAAAATTTACGATTAAAAATGTTGTTGTGATTTTCTTTACATTAGTTTACTAAGTTAAATATATTTTATCTGCAGATTTTAAGATATAAACGATATAAACTGTATTACCTAAGAGGATGACAACAACACGCAATTTATTTTTAATAGTGTCAAATTCCAAAATTTAAATGTACGTTCCCAGAAATAAAATAAATTGTCAATATTAACGATGTCACTGACTTAGCAGGCTAAATATCAAATCTATGGTTGCATTATACCCAAATATTAAAACATATTTCATAAATAATTTGTTTGACACTATATTCAGTATTAAATGTTAGTTAAGTGCTTATCGGACTTTATTAGGACCCAAAACAATTTAGGGCTGTTTTAATTTAGAGTGAAAAATAACTTATAAAGTTAAATGCGTCTGAGAGGGTATGCATACGTGTCAAATAAATTCAGTAAAGATCAAATTCTTATGCATTATTTACAATGAGGAAGTATTAAAAAAAACTTTAGTTCCCGAAGTCAAACTAGAGGTCGCTACGGTACGTTCTTGATTGCTCCATGACAATACTTCCGGTTTTCTTTCATGTTTTAAAGTAAATTTGGTTTCAAAACTCAATAAACAACTCATATTCTATATGTTCTTTTTCGTATTTGTATTGATATCTAAGTTTCGAAATTTTCATATTTCAGTTTTTTTATATGTTACTTAAAAGGAACGAAAATTACTGCCTTTGGTCCATTCGTTTCCTGCAAAAATCAACTTTTGCTAGAGTTGCCATCTAGTGGAGGGGCTTTTTTAGTGCTTTCGTTTTTTTTTTAAATACTTTCTCATTGCAAGATATCAAAAAGACATATATCGATTATGTAATGATTAATTTTGTCAATAAGTTAGGTATTATTAAGCCTATATACGTTTGACAATGGCTGGGCACACACGTCATGTACGTAGTATTGGTCTATGCACACTATACTAGTAGGTATATATCTAGTATTGTTCTATGTAAACTATATAATCTGTGCACATCTATTTGACATTGAAAGAAAGACTGAGCGACAGAAAGTGACAGAAACAGAAACTTGTTTTGTTGTTAGGGATGTGAGATTAATAGAAAATAATCGATTTAATAAAAATCGATTTTCTTTTATAACTTATAAATTGATTTGTCAATAATCGATTTTAATGAAAATAAATAATAGATTTTTGCGAAAAAATCGATTTTTTTTTCTATTATTTAAAATCCTACATGCTTTACACATTCCAATAATAGACCTAAAAGATTCATATTAACAATAAATCAGATTAAAAAAAAAATGTGAATAAAAAAATTGACAATTCAAAACTAAAAATCAAAGCAAATGTTCTTTTAAACTTTCAAGGTAAGGAATAATAAAACCAAATATCATTTTTGATAGAAATTCTCAGTATCTTTAAACGTTATATAATAATAAAAATGAGCACCCCAACAAAATGACAACCTTATTGTCGCAAAAAATTAAATATAATAATAAAAAAAAATTGTCATGAATTTACATTCATGTTTAGTTTTCGATAAATATCAAACATCGATGTTGGACTTACAATGATGATATCGATGTCAACATCGATGTTATTCTAATGTCGATCATATATACCTACATACCTACAGATGGCGCCGTTTTTATATTATCAACTTTTAAGTAATAATGCTTCGAGTTTTTTCATTTGGCGCATAGATGATGCTATTTATGAAAATCGATTTAACCGCGCAATTTATTTAATCGATTTGTTAAAAATCGATTAACATGACATGGAAAATCGATTATAAAAAATCGATTATATTAAAATAATAAACGATTAAAATAAAAATCGATTATTTTTTAACATCCCTATTTGTTGTTGAATCATGCACGAAATAAATGTTTCTGTAAACTTTGAACAATAGTAAATAATAACGAATTCAACACAGTTCGAACTATTCAACACATTCAGTCGTTTCTCCGATTTTCTTGCGCCTACAACGATGACAATTATTTAAAGTCATGGACCGTCGTACTTTTTTATATTTGTTTATTCAAATTTTGTTTACTAATTTTTGTTTTTGTAATGTTTCTGTTGAAAAGAAACAAAAGATCTTTAATGGTTTTGTTGATTATTTGATGAATTTGCCCGACCAACCATATTTACTTCACGACGGAATTTTGGAAAATATCGCAGAAATAGTAAGTACTCTTTTATGTAGCCCTTTCTTTAAAAATATTGTATACACATTATTATTAATTTCTCTGTTCGTATGTGTTATTCTTTAAAAATCAAAGAAAAACTGTTGCAAATATTTTTACCAAGATTTACATACATTGGACCATCTTTATTGCCATTTAGTACTATGCTAATAACATTCTTAAAATTATATGATTGTTAAATGCTTTACGTTAAAATGTAAGGTGAGTTTTAAATTGTCATACCTGTAACATTTTGTTTCTGTTTAAAGTATTTTATTTTATTTTTTCCATTATACTTTTAGATACATTGTCTTTTGAGTTCATTAAATATAACTATAAAAATTGCAGTGTGTTTTTAACCTTGGAAGCTTATAGTTTATCTAAGTATGGCACAGATAACAACTTGTAATCCAAATGAATGGGTCAAAAGGCTTTATATTTTAAATAACAAATAACTGGATATAAAATCTATGTAAAATTTTTTTTATATTATGATAGATTAAATAAATATTATAAAATTATAATATAAGTAAGCAAAGTTAAAGTGTTGAGCATTACTGTTTAACTTTATTTATATTTCCATAATAATCTTTAGTACAGCATTCCTTATCCTAGAGTTGTGATCTAAAATTACTTAGCCAGAATATTTTAAAGACACATTCACAAAATAGCTGGTATTCTGACTGAATACATAATACTTTGTAAAGATATCAATTTTAAGAAACCTCAGACGTTAATTCTACTTTTGTTAACAATTTAATAAATAAGTATGAAAGTATAAAGAAAAGGTTAAAAATGTTTGTTTTATATTTTTTTTAGAGTGAAAATGGTTATAACATTGAGGTTCAATTCAGAGGGGAGGATATAGAAGGTAAACATTTAAAACATGTAAAGTGTTCTGGCATTGTATATGATAAGCAGGAAAATGGTGTGGAAGTGGCTAGTGGCTATCAATGCCAGTATGACACAGAGTCTAGCACCATTACCGAGAGTCTTGAAGAAGTTGTAACAGAGTGGCTGACTACTGATCCTCCAGTACCTCACCAGCCTATAAAACTCGACAATGAAGTTCAAACAGAACCTGTAAGTAATAATTTACATTTATTTTTAATAACCTTTTATCCTAAAACTTTAAGTAAGACTTGTTAATATTTTGTATGAACCGTCTTCATGGATGGTAATAGGTTAATAGAAAACGGAAAGAAATATAGACTTAATATATAATTATTATTAACTTAGACATTTAAATAAAGATGGGCAAAGTCTTTGGAATTTTCAACTATTCTATATTAGCTAGCCAAATAACTTCGTTAAGTACTCAGTTTGGTGAGGAGGAAATTGGGTAAAACCGGTTATTTAAATTCTCAGCATAATCTCCACAAGGTGAATTTCTAGTTTGAATATTATACCTGCCCTACTGGTACATTTTTTTTTTCAAAATAATAGCCTTTTAAGTAATTTATTTGAATCATCAGAAACACAAATTTTTATAGCATATTTTTTTTTATTCACAAGTTTTTTTATTATATTTTTTTTGTTATTATAATATTTATATATTTTTGTCTATGTTACAAGTACATAATATTACATAAATGTTGCTCTATTTTTTATATAATCTGTTGACGCTCAACAATAATGTAACCTTGAATATGTGATTAGAATTGGTAATTAGAAGATGGTTTATCTATAAATTATAGATAATAAGAAAACAACATGAGATGTGGTCACTTAATAATACACTGTCTCACAATATGAATTTAGTAGCAAAAATTGATCTTTATGTGAAACAGGTTAATGAACATAATATTCTTTTGTAATACTTATACAATACAACCTGCTCGATCTGTCAAAATGAGAATCAGCCCTATCTGGCTGACAGATCAACCATCAGCAGACCGATCGGGTTGAGCCTTCTTAGCATTTTTGACAGCAATGATCCAGGATTGAAAATGCTTAAACTAGATACTACATTGTGCTATACAGTAGGAATAGTCTGTGTCCGAAGCATGGACTGTTCAAAGTTAATTAAGAAGAATATTATCCTAATGATTGTATGCTAAGTCTTGCTCATGCCTCCATAAATTATTTAAAATAAAACTTTGTGAAACTTTTTGAACTTTGTGTTATTTCTGAAAATTAAGATTATTTATGAGGCTTATGACAATGTGAATTCATTTTTATTCAATTAATGCGTGTCTTTGAGTAAAAACAGATGTGTTCATTTATTATAACAGATATAAAGTACTGTTTTGTTGTGCTCGGGGAGTTTTTAAATTTAATTGTTTATTAACGGTGATAGCTTATCTGAACTGCATGTATGTTCCACAGTAATTTACATATTATGAGTTAGATGATTGTTAATTACTAGAACAGTACCTACATACAGAAAAAAAATAAAAATGAAAATATACTTCACCTCTATTAACAACACTTAAAAAAGTGGCTAAGTGCTTTCACCATTGACTCTGAAGACTTCTTATAGTTTCCATTCCTGATCATGAAATTCCGGGATTATAAAGTTTGGCTCTAGTTCCCTATCCCAAGGCTCAAAGAATAAGTAAAGAATTCTAATTCATTTACTATCTGAAATGTCAACTTTGCAGAGCATAATGTAGAAGAAAAAGTTACACTTTTCAATATACTTCAATCCATTTTTCATTTTATAGCCATTGCTTTATTAAATTGATTTCAAAAACAACATGTACAAAATAAATTATAAATGTAACAAATCAAACAGGTACGTCATATGTAACTCTTTTGTCGTGATTCTTTATGACATAGACTGATTTTACAAAAGATTCATGTATGTGTAAATGTTTACTTGTAATCCTTCATAATAAGAAACTTTAAGTTTGACCTCAGTTGAGTCTGAATTTTTTTATTATCATTATTTAGCAGGGTCATTTAGTCCATCCAGCGTCATTTAGTGCAGTTGGCAAGTTTGAAGATGAATATAAAATATCCCAGTACTAATTTCAATGAAAAAAAAAATGTGATATATTCGTTTTATAGTCTTTTTTAAAGTTAACATTCAGTTTTGTTCGAAACATCTTGGGTTTTTTATTAAATAGACAAATTTCCGAATTAGCTGTTTTACCCACTTAACGTCCACAAAATCTGACCCGTGGACCATTTTACGTCAACCAGCTGAGAAAAGGAAGGCAGGGGTAATATTTTAAGATAATATAAAGAAAGGTGGAATTTTTATAATTTCTTTATGTAAGAATAAAGTCGTTTAAAAATCAACAATATTAATCTAGTAATCAGAGATGCGCCGAATATACATTTGGTATTCGGTATTCGGCATCTTGTACACAATTTATGTTCGATTAGCATTTATATTTTCTTGACTAAATAACATGGTATGGAATTAAATGACAAAACTTCTTATGTTAGGTTTATTCTTATATTATTTTTTATAGTCATCATACATTAAATATAGTCAAAGAAATCCTATGAAGACCGGGTTTAATAAAGCTAGATAAAATAAATCAGTTAAATTTCAAATCCTAAATATAAATTTTTTAAACTTTCATCACTATCAAAATATAATAGAGGTAAGAAATGAAATTAAAGTTAAGCAAAAAGAAATTTGTTTTCAGAATAAGTATATTATACAGAATAGTATTTATAATTAATGGTAAATTATGGTGCAGAAACATCAAGCTCTCTGTTCCCGCAGGTCTGTTTGATTTTTCTTCTTAGAAGTTCCTTGCTACCGAAATAAATAATAATAATATAATCTTTATTGCACACGATACTGACAGAAAACAACATGAAATTAGACGGTATAACATTAAAAAGTCTACAAAAGGCGGTCTTAGTTGTTGCTTAACAGCAATTTCTTCCAGGCAACCTATGAAAAAGAACAATAAAAGGAAAGGAAAAATTATGGGGTAACGGGTGCAAAGGTCAGAAGGTTATGATATCTTTTTGAACTTGATCGCCAAAAGAACTTAGTGAGCGAGTGTTCCTGGCATCCTCCGAGAGAGAATTTCATAAACGCACAGTATGCTCAGAAAAGGAATAGGGTAGGAAAAGAATGGAATATAGTAACTTTCAAGTAGGTATGTAAGTCCCTGCATCGGCGAATAGGGAGCCAAGTTAGCTTGGAATGGAAATTTGTCATATGGTCAAATTTACGAAGGTTGAAAACGAATCGGATACAAACATTGTCTAATTTATTGAGAAATTCGTCCGATAGATCCCTGTAACAAAGATCATCGTTGTCTATAATGGATAACAATAATGAATGCATTAAAGATACCTTAGTTCTAGTAAGCAAAAAGTTGCGTAGTCTATAGTTGCGTAGTATATAGTACGTGGCAAATACCTTTTTTCTATCGGCCTCCACCTGGGGTCTCCAAGAAAGCTTTTTGATCGAAGATGACGCTAGGGTTCCAAGCAGTTTTTGAATAGGGAATTACATTGCCGTTGTATATTACTGAAGGCAGTAACTCAGAACTGACCCTAAAAATGTAATGTAAACTGCCAATAAAATTTACTTAAGTTTTAGAAGGGTTCACAGTGAGACCATATGATTCACTCTAATCACTAATGGTAATGACAGGTCAGCGTTTACATGATGATGAATGGCGCTTGAATATAAATTTGAAGGTCATCGGCTAAGAGGTGATAGGAACAATAAAGCATTTAAGTTATGGAATTTATAAATATAGAGAATAGAAGTGGAGATAAGTCGCCACCCTAAGGAACACCGGATATTGCACCACGTAGAGACGGACTCGTCAATGCGCATACTCTGCGGGCGTCTTAGCAGGTAACTTCGAAACCAGGAAATTAACCAGCAGCTGGAGATATGTTGAGAGAATAAATGTTCGCTATACAAACGTTATATTACAAGCAGCATTTAGAAACATTGGCTAAAAGATATAATACTATGCCCTGTAGGTATAGATTGCGTCCATTGTGGACGCAAAATACAAATTTTTGTAAAATGAAAGTCGTGGAGATTTTTATATTTGCATGATTATAACACATACTTCAAATACGTATCTCGTAACTTCATCCGCGTGGTAAAGTTACTTGAGCAGCATTTCCAAAAACGCTAAAACAAATATTTATTAATCATATCGTGTAAAATATCCGATGAAATTATGTATTTTTGATAATACAAAATATATCAGATTAAGACAGAACAGGAAAATAATGAAACATTTATTACTCATGTACTCCGATTAATACCCAATATGTTTAAGCACATGTTTCTATGAATACTTAAAAGTTATTTATCCAATTCGTAATACAGATAGAAAGAAAACTTCATTGAACAAAACGCAGTTTAGTTCAGAATAAACGTCGTCTAGTAAAACAAAGTTTAAAGTTCTGTATCAACATCATCACCAGCTTATTAATGTCCCCATTGCTAGGGCTCAGGCACGCGGGTGTTAATGACAACATATGGAACCGAGATCTACATTTTAACGTGTCTGGCGAAGCACGGAAGATATTATTGATATTGATTGTTGTTATCGTTAATCAAAAAACTAAAACGTAGATATGAGAGAGAGATCAGCTTGCGAAAGCACAATAGAATTCTAAAATATTATGGCAAAATATTAACAATATAACAGGGCTAAAGCGCAGAGAATGTTCTGAAAATGAGTTACTTAACTTAGAAAATGGACCGACTCATATGTCGGTTAACAAAATTAATAAGTATTATTCTACCATAGGAATTAACTTAGCTAATAAAATTAATGCAAATTGCAATACAAATAATTCCATTTCTGATGATGCTGTGACAAAACTAGTAATTGATAGGAGTCATGCCGGAGAGTCCTCCAGATCTAATTCTACACTTTCTTCATCTTTTGTGCTCCTGGAGACTGATCAAATAGAAGTTTATGAAACTTTAATGGGTCTCAGGTCTGATAGTGCTCCTGGATGGGACGGTATACTTATTAAATTTTTAAAATTTGCGCATAAGCATGTGGTACCAGTGTTTTGTCACTTATTCAACCTTTGTTTTGAACAAGGTATTTTTCCTGCAGCTCTAAAATGGGCTGTAGTAACTCCTGTTTATAAGAGTGGTGACAGAAGCAGTGTCAACAACTATCGCCCGATATCAGTTCTTACGTCATTGTCAAAAATATTAGAAAAGCTTATAAACATAAGAATAACTAACTACCTAAACAAATATAAAATACTATCAGATTCACAGTGTGGCTTCAGAAAAGGAATATCAACTGAAGCCGCAGTTACTAAAATGACATCTATAATTGCTGATAAAGTAGATAATAGAAAAAAATGTATTACTGTTTTCTTAGATATAAAAAAAGCTTTTGACACTGTTTCTGTTCCTGTCCTTGTGCAGAGACTGGAGGGATATGGTTTCAGGGGAGTACCCCTTACCTTATTGACAGACTACCTGCAAAATAGGAAACAGCAAGTTAGGGTGGGAAGTTATATCAGCGATCAAGTCGTTATAAGTTATGGTGTCCCCCAAGGTAGCGTGTTGGGTCCTACTTATTTTCTTATGTACATAAATGAGTTGAGCAATCTGAAGATAAAAAATGCGAAGGTATTTACATATGCTGATGACACAGCCATAGTGTTCTCGGGAGATACATGGTCTGACGTGTGTAGGAAAACGGAGAGTGGTCTTGCATTGGTTGCTGAGTGGTTAAAAAGACATTTACTAACTCTCAACATAAACAAAAGTAACTTTATATGCTTCTCGATAGATAAAAGAACTCAACCTAACAGCAACCTTAAAATTCGCATTCATAGCTGTGGAAATCCCATAAGTGCCACTTGCTCTTGCTTGGGTATTGAGAAAGTTGAAACTATAAGATACTTGGGAGTTATTATTGATCAACGTTTGTCATGGCATCCTCACTTAGAAATGGTTATGGCTAGAATTAGGAAACTCGTGTGGATTTTTAAAAAAACTTAGACATGCTGCTGATAAAGTAACTTTAAATAAAATTTATGTTGCTCTGGCCCAATCGGTGTTAAGCTATTGTATTACTGTATGGGGAGGGGCTACTAAACTTAAATTCTTGGAAGTTGAAAGAACCCAAAGGTCGCTACTAAAAGTAATGTACTTCTTGCCTTACAAATACTCTACTGAGGCACTGTATGCACATTGTGACATTTTAACTGTTCGGAAATTATATATTTTTAACTCTGTATTGAAGTTGCATAGATCACTTCAATATGATCCTAATCAATTAAATAATAAAAGAAGAAAACACAAAGTTATTCCTCTAAGTACGGTAAAAACAGCTTTTGCTGCGAGACAATATCATAGACAAGCTACTCATTTATACAATATTATTAATAGAACTCTAAATATATACCCATTGAACTTACACACTTGTAAAATAAACGTTTTAAACTGGCTCAAAATCCTAAAATACGAAGAAACAGAACTTCTTCTAAAGATTGAGAAATAAGTTGGAAAAGCATTCTTTATCAATATAAAATTAACAATTGAACAATTGGAAAAAAAGGGCATTGCCAACGCATTAACACACACACACACACACGCACACACACGCGCACACACACACACACACACACACACACACACACACACACACACACACACAAACAAACACACACACACACTTTATCTTTTAATTTAATTACTTACCTATGTTTAATCCAGTCTTGAAGAGCGATAACATCCTGATACAGGTATTTTTAAATACTTACTAGGAATGTTATCACAAACAAATGTTTCACACTGATTTGATATGTAAATAAACATTTTTGCTTTTTTTTTGATTTGATATTAGTTTATTTATTCCGGCAAATGCCTGGTAAGCTCTTATTATATGATGTAATGAGTGACAAGGAGAATCTTTTAATTATTCCATATTAGATATTTTACATGCGAAACCAGGTCAGTGTTTTCTGTTACACAATCATGAGGGTTAGGCATAACAGAGTTAAATTGAGGACATAGGATATAGGTTGCTTTTATTGTGATAAAAGGGTTGACATATGCTGCCCAAAGTAACTATGCTGCGAGGACGAAGACGTGGGCAAAGTGAGTTTCACATAAACATCGATCAAAATTTACCTCTTAACTTAGATTCTATATACTCTCTCTGAATTACAAACACATTATATTGAAATAGAAATATTAAAAGTAGCTCGGTGGCGTAGTGGATAAACGCCGCGGCCCGCGATCGTTGTTGTTCAGCAACTTTCGCAAGGGTCGGTCACGGGATGGGTGACCAAAAAAATTATTATCTCGAGTTACTCCGTGCTTCGGAAGGCACGTTAAGCCGTAGGTCCCGGCTGCATTTGCAGTCGTTATTACCCTCCAATCCGCATTGGGCCAGCGTGGAGGGTCATGGCCCATCCTCCTTAACCATCCATAAGGAAGGCCTGAGCCCCTGCAGTGGGGACGTAAAAAGGGCGGATGATGATGATGATATGGGCTGATGATAGTAAATATCGTAAGCATTTAAAAAAAATGTAATTTTGGTCACTTTTGATTTGTAACTTTATTCTGCAAGTAACGATTTGGTTATTTAATACATAGAGGAACTAAAAACAATATTCTAACCTATTTTTAGTGTGTACAAAACATTATAACTTTGCACTGAATTCACGGGGAAACTAGAAAGTGATGTTCCGCAATTTTATTCCTCTCGCTCACTATTGTGCTCGGTTTCAATTGGTTAAAAATAATCACCTTTTTATACCACCATATAATTTTCCCTAAATTCTGATATGAAGATTATAGCTTACAATCGACCGATTCATATCATACATAAAATAATGCCATGAACGAATACAGGAATTTTCATTGTTCTAGGAGAACTTACTCTGTTTGTCTATACCAATATTGTATAAGATGAAAGCTTTGATAGTTTGTTGGCATCGAATACGCTCGGAACCTACTGGACTGTTTAAAAAACAATTCCCTACGGGTAATTACATCATACGGGGTTGACATAGGCTACAATTTACGCGTGAAAACAGCTAGTAGTAAATAAATGTGGAATATAATTAACCACTGTAAAGTCTTGTCATGTTTATTTAAAAAAGAAAAGGCCTATGCCTTTTCTTTTTACATTAGACAATAAAATTATGTGATGTAATGCTATATCATGTAAACCAATATTACTTACTATTTATATTTTACAAACAGGTTGTCTTTATTAGTAATTTGACGATAACCGTTAGTGACTTATTTTTTTATATTATTTTCTGACACAAGCTATATTTATCCATACATATTATAGCAAAATATGTAAAAAACAGACTCTAAAAAAAGTGTAAAATAACTCGCCAAACTTCTAATGAAGTTGATTAACCGGAGGTGAATTTTTTCTATATTAAACAACTAATATGGGAGCAATACTGAATTTACGAAAAATAATCAGTTTTTTCATTCTGTTGCCGATTCTAAGTATTTTATTTCTGAATTCAGTGTTGCTCCCATATTAAAAGTTATTCGGTATATTTAACTTATTCACGAATTCTTAGCATATACATAACAATATTACACCTCATATTATTTATACTGCCCAGCGTATGTTCGAATGTCGTCCCCATTATTAAATACGTTTGCACGCGCCACTATTTACACAAATAAATAGGCAAATATTGATGATATTTAATTTCATATGTTTCCGTTAGGTTACTTCTGGAGAACAGTTCATAGCGGTGCGTCGTGACAGTAAACCTTGCATCGGGTGCGCTTCACAAGTGGACCCTGAGGCTACTGGTGTATCTGAACTAGCTTTACTTGGCATAAGGCAGTTGGACCAATTAGAACCTGGAGTTTACCATAGTCTCAAAAAAGTCATCACGGTGGAAAGGCAAGTCCAGGTATGTATCCTATTACCATTACCACACGTTCAATCATATAATCATAATTTTAGCACGTTTCATAGCTATCAAGAGGAAGGTGCTGCTGTTAATTGACAGTCATGCGTTTCTCAGATGAAAACATAGTGCGACATGTAGTTGATTAGTACTAGGGCCACACCTGAAGCTTTGATAGAAAATACAAATTTATATGTAGATCATTTATAACACGTGTGAACGTGTGTGCGCGTGTGTCATAAAATGTATATCTACAGCTGAACAGAGTGCTAGGGTTGGTACTTACGAAAAGTAAAACTAGTACCTAATTTAGGTACACGATGATTACTATTGTATAGTTTTCGGATTAAGATTGAATATGTTAATTTAATAAAATCGTCGGGAGGTAATGCTGGACGGCCGCGTAAATGACGTGCGGAACATCTGTTTATATGGAGTCGAGTTAGTGTTCCTTTTATATATTGTGGCCCTATGGCCGTTGCTAAATACAGTATTAAAATGTCTTTATGTTTGACGCACGATTTCATATTTTTGTATGATGAAGAAAAAAAATGATTTTTAAAAATATTTATAAATTCAAATACTGTGCGTGCAAATTTATTTAAATCATCTTTTTTCCAGGTGGTGAACGGAGTTCGTTATGTTCTTACATTATTAATTGATTATAACAGTTGTACAAAAAATGTTACAGACGATTGTGTTTTAACTAAGACATGTAAAATATCTATACTAGATAAGCCATGGGCCAAACTTCTTGACGGTTCAAGATATAGAGTTGTGGTTGCTAATAACTGCACTGCTGAATGGCTATTTGAAGAAAATGATGAAACGTTAGGGCAAGGTGACCGCGATAAACCTGACAATTCTCAGAAGCCTACTCCAGACTATAGTGGCATCCCAAACACAGGTTCATTAGAAGATATAATTCAGTCTGTTCGTAATCCAGATGTCCAGTCACAACCAGATATAGAGAAAACTTTAACAGACGAAGAAATTAAAAATATACAACAGCAAATAATACCCAATAATCAATTTTCGCAGCAAAACTTAGAGAATCAGCAATTTGTTACAAATGAAGTTGGTAGTAATGACATACACGCTCATCAATTCACTAATCTTGAATCACACGCATCGGACATAGGTGCAAATCCTATCACTGAACCTGTAAAATTACCCCAAACTTCTAACGGAATATCCGAGGACAAAAAAAAAGCAATCGATGATTTATTAACTTTTTTCGATTATGCTGGTTTTAATCATAAAAGTGATGACCTCAAAGAAACGCCACGAATTAAAAGAAGCTATGAAAACGAATTGAATATGTTTAATATGGCAGAAAATTTCAATAAAATGAGAAGAAGTATAGACAGCGCTAAAAATATTTACGCATTAGCGCAGTCTATGGTAGATTATTTGAACGAAATGGATATGTCAGTAAAAAATAGAATTTTAAGTTCTGTTATATCAGCTGAAGAAGAGTTCGAAAATAATAAACATTACTTTTATATACAGGCACGAATAATAATTCCATGTGATAAAATTGAATGTGATAATAAAGATGAATTGAAAAAAATATGTAATGGTGTCGTTCATAGTAATGACGAAAAAAATCCGGAAGTTTTGACAACATTTTGTTATAACGACAATAAAAAGAAAATGCTAATGAGTAAAATAAGTATTGTAACTCCTGATGATCCTGTATTACTAAAATTGGCAAATATTGCATTGAAAACAATAGAACTTGAATCACATGATGATAATGCGTTACGGATAATTAAAATTCATAATGCCAGTACTCAAAAAGTCTCAGGTACTTTAACAAAATTATCAATTCTATTAGGTAACACAAACTGTAGTAAATCAATGGCTTTAAAAAATAGAAATAATTGTTCCGTACAAGAGAAATTGGGAACTAAGTCATGTGAAGTAGAAATTTTAGAAAAACAATGGTTGAAAGAAAAGAAGATTTCCTATATTTGTACAGACCGACCTGTCGGAGAAAGTTTTGTGAACAAAAAGTTAGAATATAGTACTGACGACCCAGACGTTGCCGAGATGGTTCAAGATGCTTTACAGTATTTGGAACTACAATCAAATAAAAACAGCAAACAAAAATTAGTAGATGTTACATCAGTTTCAACTCAACTTGTGGCTGGACTATTAACAAATATAGAATTTTTAATTGGTTATACTAACTGTTCTAATGATCATGATATTAGACAAAACAATTGTGAATTATTGAAAAATGAAATACCTCGTAATTGTAAAATGCAAGTTTGGCAAAGACCTTGGTTAGATGAAGAAAGACAAATGAATGTTTCTTGTGAAAATGATTTATCCAACGAAATAAATGACAATGAAGATGATTTGCAAATAAGAAAAAAAGGAGACATAGAGTTGCAACTGTCTGCTGGTGGTATAACTAAAAAAAGTGACAACGACCCTCATTACAGAGCTTTGGCAGAAGAATCCCTACGAAAATATTTACAGTTATCTGGCGCTACCGAACCTCATAGCGTCGTCACAGTTGACAATGTAGAAACACAAGTAGTAGCCGGCTCATTAACTATGATCGATTTCACCGTATCAAAAAATAATGATAACGTCATTAAATGTTATTCAAAGATATGGGAACAGCCTTGGCGTAACAAAAAAGATATAAATGTAACATGTAATTTACCAAATGAGCACAATCGTGAAAAAAGACAAATCCCTGGAGAAGTAACTAAAAAAGACAGTAATGACCCTCGTTACAGAGCTTTGGCAGAAAAATCCCTACAAAAATATTTACAGTTATCTGGCGCTACCGAACCTCATAGCGTTGTCACAGTTGACAATGTAGAAACACAAGTAGTAGCAGGCTCATTAACAATGATCGATTTCACAGTATCAAAAAATAATGATAACATCATTAAATGTTATTCGAAGGTTTGGGAACAGCCTTGGCTCAACAAAACAGATATAGAGGTAACGTGCAATTTGCCAAATGAGCACAATCGTGAAAAAAGACAAATCCCTGGAGGAGTAACTAAAAAAGACAGTAATGACCCTCGTTACAGAGCTTTGGCAGAAAAATCCCTACAAAAATATTTACAGTTATCTGGCGCTACCGAACCTCATAGCGTCGTCACAGTTGACAATGTAGAAACACAAGTAATAGCAGGCTCATTAACAATGATCGATTTCACAGTATCAAAAAATAATGATAACATCATTAAATGTTATTCGAAGGTTTGGGAACAGCCTTGGCTCAACAAAACAGATATAGAGGTAACGTGCAATTTGCCAAATGAGCACAATCGTGAAAAAAGACAAATCCCTGGAGGAGTAACTAAAAAAGACAGTAATGACCCTCGTTACAGAGCTTTGGCAGAAAAATCCCTACAAAAATATTTACAGTTATCTGGCGCTACCGAACCTCATAGCGTCGTCACAGTTGACAATGTAGAAACACAAGTAGTAGCAGGCTCATTAACAATGATCGATTTCACAGTATCAAAAAATAATGACAACATCATTAAATGTTATTCGAAGGTTTGGGAACAGCCTTGGCTCAACAAAACAGATATAGAGGTAACGTGCAATTTGCCAAATGAGCACAATCGTGAAAAAAGACAAATCCCTGGAGGAGTAACTAAAAAAGACAGTAATGACCCTCGTTACAGAGCTTTGGCAGAAAAATCCCTACAAAAATATTTACAGTTATCTGGCGCTACCGAACCTCATAGCGTCGTCACAGTTGACAATGTAGAAACACAAGTAATAGCAGGCTCATTAACAATGATCGATTTCACAGTATCAAAAAATAATGATAACATCATTAAATGTTATTCGAAGGTTTGGGAACAGCCTTGGCTCAACAAAACAGATATAGAGGTAACGTGCAATTTGCCAAATGAGCACAATCGTGAAAAAAGACAAATCCCTGGAGGAGTAACTAAAAAAGACAGTAATGACCCTCGTTACAGAGCTTTGGCAGAAAAATCCCTACAAAAATATTTACAGTTATCTGGCGCTACCGAACCTCATAGCGTCGTCACAGTTGACAATGTAGAAACACAAGTAGTAGCAGGCTCATTAACAATGATCGATTTCACAGTATCAAAAAATAATGACAACATCATTAAATGTTATTCGAAGGTTTGGGAACAGCCTTGGCTCAACAAAACAGATATAGAGGTAACGTGCAATTTGCCAAATGAGCACAATCGTGAAAAAAGACAAATCCCTGGAGGAGTAACTAAAAAAGACAGTAATGACCCTCGTTACAGAGCTTTGGCAGAAAAATCCCTACAAAAATATTTACAGTTATCTGGCGCTACCGAACCTCATAGCGTTGTCACAGTTGACAATGTAGAAACACAAGTAGTAGCAGGCTCATTAACAATGATCGATTTCACAGTATCAAAAAATAATGATAACATCATTAAATGTTATTCGAAGGTTTGGGAACAGCCTTGGCTCAACAAAACAGATATAGAGGTAACGTGCAATTTGCCAAATGAGCACAATCGTGAAAAAAGACAAATCCCTGGAGGAGTAACTAAAAAAGACAGTAATGACCCTCGTTACAGAGCTTTGGCAGAAAAATCCCTACAAAAATATTTACAGTTATCTGGCGCTACCGAACCTCATAGCGTTGTCACAGTTGACAATGTAGAAACACAAGTAGTAGCAGGCTCATTAACAATGATCGATTTCACAGTATCAAAAAATAATGATAACATCATTAAATGTTATTCGAAGGTTTGGGAACAGCCTTGGCTCAACAAAACAGATATAGAGGTAACGTGCAATTTGCCAAATGAGCACAATCGTGAAAAAAGACAAATTCCTGGAGGAGTAACTAAAAAAGACAGTAATGACCCTCGGTACAGAGCTTTGGCAGAAAAATCCCTACAAAAATATTTACAGTTATCTGGCGCTACCGAACCTCATAGCGTCGTCACAGTTGACAATGTAGAAACACAAGTAGTAGCAGGCTCATTAACTATGATCGATTTTACAGTATCAAAAAATAATGATAACATAATTAAATGTTATTCAAGGATATGGGAACAGGCTTGGCGTAACAAAAAAGATATAAACGTCACGTGTAATTTACCAAATGAGCACAACCGTGAAAAAAGACAAATTCCTGGGGGAGTAATTATAAAAGACAATAATGACCCTCGTTACAGATCTTTGGCAGAAGACTCCCTACAAAAATATTTACAGTTATCTGGCGCAACTGAATCGCATAGAGTTGTCACAGTTGACAATGTTAAAATACAAGTTGTAGCTGGAACATTAACCATGATTCATTTCACGGTTTTAAAAAATAAAAATAAAACAATGAAATGTTATTCAGCTATCTGGGAACAGTCTTGGATCAATATAAAAGAAATAAATGTGACTTGTAATTTAGAAACCAAGTCCAATAAAAGGAAAATACAAATTACCAATGGAGAATTAGATGACATGAACGGTGGATTTTTAACGTTAAATAAGAATAGCTCTGACTACAAGAAATTAATTCAGAAAAGTTTGCTTACATTTTTAAAATCATCTCAAACCGAACAGCATTATAAAGTAGTTAAAATACTTAAAGCCAAAAAACAAAGAGTGGATGGTGGCAAAGTAAGGGTTGTCTTCCTTGTGTCACCTACTAATTGTCAAATAAAGAATGATGGTAATTTGTCTGCATCTACTTGCGATATACAAAACCCTAGTATTGTAAATAAATGCTTAGCTGATATCTGGGACAAACCTCGGTCTTCTACGAAAGTTTATATTGTGGACTGTTATCTCAAAAGTGATCATCGTCAAAGAAGAGAGGTTATAAGAAGAAAATTTAGGGTGTCAAATTATAAAATTGCTGCAGCTCACAATAAAGTAGGATCTACAGTAGAAGAAGATCCAAATAAAAACGAATATAGAATTTTAGCAGATGAAAGCTTACAGAAATATCAGCGTTTACAGAAATATAATGTTCGCCAAAAAATATTACAAGTTAAAAGAGTTGAAACGCAAGTTGTTTCAGGTATAATTTATAAAATAGATTATACTGCTGTACCAACAATTTGTTCTGTAAATGTTCTTGATACGTCATTATGTGATCAAACAGATGAAAAAGTTATACTTTATTGTCATGCTGAAATATGGGACCGTGCTTGGTTAAAACGCAGAAGTATAGATGTTTCATGCGTTGATTACGATCTCGAGGAAAAAAATAGCAAGGAATTAAGACCCAAACGTGGTATTATCGGCGGATCAGAGAGCAAAGAGATTGACAATGAGCATTATGAGAAATTGGCTGAAGTTGCTTCTGAAAAATATATGAAGTTGACAAAACCCAAATACTTTCATAAAGTTTTGGAGATAATTCACGTTTCTGAAAAAGTTGTGCAAGGATTTTTATTAAAAATTGAATTTTCCATAGCTCCGACCACGTGCTTGTATAAATCTGTAACAGAGAATACAAAAAATTGTCCGTTTCAAATTCCGAAAGCTAAATTAACTTGTTTTGCAGAAATACTTGAGCGACCAATGTTTGATGTATTCGGTGATGATATTACTGTAATATGTCGTCGAAAAAAGAGTAAAAAACCAAAACATTTAAGTAAAAACGATTCAAAACCTGATCATAAAATTAGAGACAAACGACAAATACGAATGGACGAAAATGAAATTGATGACGACGTTAAATATGTCTATGCTCATCATGCAGTAAAGAGTATTAACAAACGCTCTGATACAGATAACTTACAAAAATTAATAACGATTCATGATGTTGCAAGCACTGTTCATATGGAGACGCCAATGGTTAGAATGTACATAGAAACTGCATACACATACTGCCTCAAACAAGATCAAGATATAGATCTGAATACTTGCGATGAATTAGATGGATTGAATCATAAAATATGTTTTGTGAAAGTATTTCCTTCTGTTGACGATGAATTAGTCGTTATAAAGGTTGTTGCAGTCTGCGATGATGAACCAGATTTTGTAGATGCAACACAACTCTCAATACCCGACTTATTAACTATTTCCCTTGTCTCATTACAAAATTCACCAGATATAGGTTATAAACTAGTGCATCGAGGTGAGCCTTATGTGGTTCCGAGCTTACATTCTAATATACCTGTGAAACTTAGCTTTGTGGTAGCAACTACAAATTGCTCCAAATATGTCAAAATAGAGTCTGATGTTAAAGTTCATTGTTTTGTTGATACCACGATACCGGATAAAGTTTGCCATTCTTATATATATATGATACCGGTAACAAAGAAAATTACACAAATTAGTGCAAACTGCTCGGCACCGTATTTGACCCGAACAAAGAGAACGCTTACACCAGAAAATACAACAGCGAATATACAAGAAATGGTAGAGCAGTCTTTAGAAAAGTTGGAAATGTCTTCCCTTCATAGATACAAACAAAGAGTTATAAAAATAAATAGTTATTCCACGAAACTTACGTCTGGTAGAGTGACTACTATTGACTTTGATGTGGGTTATACAAATTGTTTGAAATATGAGTGGGTAAATGATGTAACAACATGTGAATTTATAGAACATTTGCCAAGGAGACATTGTATATCGGAAATTTGGGAGAGGCTTTGGTTGAAGAACGGTAGAAAATTACAAGTGACTTGTCAAGATGACGAAACACCGTTAGAAGCTCATGTAGAATTTGAAAGCGCTGATATTGCTACACGCTTAGCACAGCAAGCGTTGAGACATATTGAAGCCAAGTATCCGCATCCAAAGAAACAGCAGCTCGTACGTATATTTTCTTTGGAGAAACAAGTGGTGGCCGGTATACACTATAGGATGAAAATTGAGGTCGGTTTTACAGATTGCTTAGCATTAAGTGTTCAAGAAAATTGTAATTTGATAAATGATGGCACTCCAAATAGATTTTGTCGAGTTAATGTTTGGCTTCGACCGTGGACTGACCACCCACCGAATTTCCGCGTAACTTGTGATTATCAGGCAGGTGCTATATCGCAAATGTACCACCATGTTCAAGCGGAACAATTATTTTTTAATTTTGTAACCACATACAAACCGGAGTACGTAAATGACCACTTAGAAATGACGAAGAGGTTTAGCATATTTAAAGAGAATATAAAGAAAATTCATGAATTAAACACTCATGAAAGAGGAACTGGTGTTTATGCGGTCACTAGATTTACTGACTTAACATATGAAGAATTCAAAACAAAATATTTAGGTTTAAATCCAAGTCTAAAAAAGCCTAATCAGATACCTATGAGGCAAGCAGCTATTCCTAAAGTGGTAGACATTCCTGCCAGTTTCGATTGGCGTCCACTTGGGGCAGTTACTGAAGTGAAAGATCAAGGATCTTGTGGGAGCTGCTGGGCGTTCAGTGTTACAGGTAATATTTATATATATTTCTACATATTATTTGACAAAGTCGCTTCCCGCTGTCTGTACGCTGATATCTTTTAAACTACACAACGGATTTTAATGCGTTTTCAAAATTACATATAGTGATTCCTGAGGAGAGTTTTAATCGTGATGAAGTAGGTTGATATACTTTCAATATGTTAGAAAAAATTAAGCCGATCGGAAGCTTTCACCGATAACGCTGAAAAAACTGTTTGAGTTATAATAAAACAATGTTTGGTTGTAATGTTCCTGTTTCATAGATCTTTGAAAGTCTGCTATGATATATGTCTTAAGTCCAAAGCATAACCCACAATAATATTTTTTTACAACAGTGCAGTATTATATCTCATCATATTTAAACATTATATGTATAAGGTTATTTACACATATAATGTTTACAACTAAGGTATTTTTGTTAAGATTGCGTGAATATAAATTAATACTACTGTGTACGAAATTTCGAATTTTATGTATATTTTATAGGTAACATTGAAGGCCAGTGGAAAATGAAAACTGGTAAGTTGCTGTCACTGTCTGAGCAAGAATTAGTTGACTGTGACAAACTTGACGATGGCTGCGACGGAGGTTACATGGACAACGCATACAGGTACTTTATAAATATCCGATATCTTTCTTCATTTTATTATTTTTGCTATGGTTACGGGTATGGATATTGGCCGCCAACTTACTCTTAACTGAAAGTAAGTAGGATTTCAAATGTGATTGTCTTATGTCGTCTAGATATAAATATTGAAAATGATATATTTCTGATCTACAAGAAGAAAAACCTATCAGTGTACAATTTTTTTCCTATGGTAGTGTAGCTAATAGAACATATATAGGAAATTTATTTTAGTTAAATTTTTTCAAAATTATTTGGTAGTAGAGTACAAACTATAAGTATATCGACAAAAAAATCCTCTTTCTCGGACGGGGAGCCTTAAATTACAAATGTTCCATATAACGGTCCCCCGTCTGTAATCAGAATTTTGTTTAACCAAGCTTATTTTTATTTTAAAGGTTATTTTATACTTTTCGGGTAATTATTTGGGGCGTTTTTTTATTAATTTGGTTTTTGGTTTACCACAATATTAATTCGAGGTGTCTGTACTCATATGTAGTTTCATTGGAATGGCGTAATATTCATATATTTTGGTATGTATATGTTACGCTCAAAGATCCAAACACATTGCATAAATTTGACATCTTTTAGTAATTTGATGTAATTTTACGGTGTTTGTCTGTGTCTATTATGCTTCCGAAGACATGGCGCTAGAACAAGCCAGATGAGGCATATTTTTAAAATCTCATTGGCACTTTTTAAATAAGTAATCTTGCATAGAGTTGGACCACCTTGTTGTACTGAGCGTATATATACCTCCTTCAAGTTTAGCTTCTCATTATGATCGTTTTGAAATAGGTATAGTTAAGCGAACGATTAGTGTGATATTTTAACGTTGATTTATTAGGAAATTCCAATTACTCCAAGACTTACAAATCTATTAACGTCCTACTAGCTGTTTTCCCGCGACTCCAAATCGTAAAATGTAGCCTATGTCAACTCCGTATGATGTAGTTACCCGTAGGTGAAAGAATTTTTAAAATCAAACAAACAATCAAATCTTTCCTCTTTATAATATTGGTATTGATAAACATAGAGTAGGTTCTTCTAACAATTAATGTTCCTGTGATCGTGCATAGCGTTATATTATGTGTTGAATCGGTCGACTATAATTTTCATATCCGAGTTTAGTTATGGAAAGTTACATGGTGTTTTAAAAAGGTGATTATTTTTAACCAAGCGTAACTATGCACGATTGTGAGCGAGCGGAACAAAATCGCGGAACATTACCCTCTAGAGTGCATAAAGTAAGGAACTAAAAAAATATTTATCGTCTATTCCGTGAATCAAAAGAAAGGGCTTAATTATAAAAAGAAAAAATAAGTTCAAAAAGTAAAAACGTTATAAAAGCCGACATCAGAAGTTGGGACGATGCATTGATTGAAACCAATATTACTTGATAAATACTTTATTTCACACTGAGTCGCCGTTCATTGGCGTTACATTTCTGCCATCTTTTATTATATTGCCAACAATAAAAAACAATACTGTCATAGTTTTTCGCAAGATGTCGTTTTCACAACAATCAATGTTCTAATTTTTGAGTTTCTAACATTTAGGTTTGTAAATTATTAAATTGAGTTTGTTTAATCATAATTACCTTTTTGAAATACATAAACATATAGTCGAACGACATTAGAAGTTACTTTTTATAATTTAGTACCCTTTTGTAACATTGTATATACGCAGTGATCAATATTAATCCTTTATTTGTAACAATATTAAAAATACTTTCGTATATAAAATGATTTGTACTTGAATATTTAAAAGAAAACATTGGTTTAATGTGAATAATCTTCTGCTTAATGAATTAAAAATTTTAGAGAAAGACACATAATGATTAGTGCTTCTCAATACATATATGAAATAATTGTGTACGTTTGTAAAAATATTAGTTTGTTTTCTATAAAAAGTGATGTACACAATTTAAATACAAGAAATAAAAATAAATTAACGGCGCCTGTCACTAGACTGCAAAAGTTAATAATTCATTCAGGGGTCTTTGTGTGCGCTTCTACAACAAGTTTCTAAGCAATACAACATTTAGATATCATCTATGAATGAATGAATACTTTTATTGTACACCATAATGAAATAAAAGGATAATCGATACAATTTAGTGGTACAATCGGCGGCCTTATCGCTAAAAAGTAATTTCTTCCAGGTAACCGCAGGTTAGACTGGACTATTACTTAAGTAGATGGGCAGTAGATGGTGTCTTACATGGCGAGAAAAACATGTTTTCATATATAAACATACCTACATACATACATACATACACATAAGCTCATACATAAATATGCATATACATAAAAATACAATAATAAATAAAACTACCTAAACAAAGTATATGTATAGAATAAAAGTAGCACGAGAACGATAGCATATTATACTTAAAGTGATAAATAATATTATCTATTTATGATATAGTAAGCTTTTTAATATATTTTTTTAAAAGGCATGTTTAAATCTACTACTTTAAAAATTGCTTGCATGATAGGGATGCTTGAAATTAAGATGTTCCAGCAACTGGATAGTTAATTCTTCTTGATTCATTATATCTCAGAATTATCTTGTCGCCATTATTAAATTATGTTATCATTATAAGATCATAGCTTTTTTTCTCTATTCATAATGGTTTTATTGTGGTTTTGTGAATTTTGTTACTCCCATTAGAGCTGGTGAGATTCTTGCTCATTCTTCTTATCAGTCAAAAAAGAGCAGAAGGGAAAAATTTGTTGGATAATTCAAAAGTTCTTTTAAGAAGTCTATTCTAATAAAGATTATTTTGACTTTATCAGTTTTGTATAGTTTGACGTGCAGTTGACTGTATAATTGAAACAAATTTCAATTATGCAAACATAAAGTATTTACAATGAGTCACTTACAATCTTTAGTAAAAGTTAATTACTTTAGTAAAAGTCATAATATAGACAAATAATACTGATTTTTAAAATTTTTACTTATGTTATGACTTATATTACTTCTACTCGACTATAAATAGGAGTGTTAGCCTAAATATTTATCATAAATTATAAAAAAATACGCTTGTATGCAATATTAATTACTTGAATTACAATGCGACGTTATGAATATTTCCTCGCTTAATGCACCTACTACTGTAAACAAAGAAAAATGTATTTGCTTTTGGTTTTGCTAAAAACGCACTTGTAAATAAACATCGAAATAGTTGGCTCTTCTTTGGTATTCTTAAATTTCCTGTTATAAATGATCGAGGATGCTGCCATGTTTTAAGTGACATCACATTTCTTATAAATAGTAAACAATGGACGTGACGTAAACATCGATGACTCTAAAAATGACAGTACATTTAATACATTGTGGGGAATCATAAATAATTATTTGATATGTTTATATTATAAATAATCCTCGTTAACTGAGATAGATTCATATATCCTCATCTTTGTCGTATTTGAATTATTATCATAATGTTATGATTTGATAAAAATAACCTTTGTAGCATTCGTTAATTAACAGATCAATGTTTAATTCACGCATAGAACAGCTTCTATCCGGTTGTTGAGATAATTATAGACTGTTAAATATTATATTATGTTGCAATACTAGTAAATGGCAAGATTTATTAAATTGTCATTTCATTTATACATAAGTTTTGCTTTCTGCTATATAATAATATATTCACTCAAGGTACATATTCACTTAAATTAGTAATAAACTTTTGTATGAACGTGTTTGACCTTGGAATGTTCTTTGAAATATTTTCTAGCGCATTGAGTCATTGGGAAAAATATTTATGACGTCGTACGACATAAATGATAGTTATTTCTTAATAAATAACACACTTGTCGTAATGTTTTTTTAATTGTTGTATATTCCTTACAGTCCACATGCTCAATTAATAATAAAATAAACAATGTTCTTATTTAGATAAAATCTTCATATATTTTTTATTACCTCCATTTAATATCCATTTAATAAAATGTCACTGTTATAACATAAAAAAATGATTTGTGAAGAGAGAGAGAGAGACATTAATAAGACTGACGAAGTGTTGTGTGCATGTTATTTTAAGTAATACCAAAGATATCACAACATATAAACTGATAGAATAGTTTATCTTATAGGACAGGGGTCGGTAACCTGTCGCATGCGCAAAGTTGGTTCAGAAGTTCTATTTACAAAAAATAATATAATTTTGTGTAATCATTTCATAGTTGGGTAACTGTATTATAATTCGAACGTGACTGATTTGTTTTAATAAATAATATTGAAATGAAATCTTAAAGTGGCTCTTAAAAACGAAAATTGGAATTTTAGCTTTTTAGCTGTTTTGTGTAGTTACTAAACTAGCCCTTGAAAACTTTACATACTATTACTAAAATCAATCTCAGTCACCTGAAATTGATTTTTTTTTGTATTTTTCTATAAATATATATAGCATTGTGTATGCAAATTTGCATATAATAATTTGTTGGCAGGTTAATATTTTTAAATATTAACTGGTATCAAAATATTCTATTCCTATTTGGGTGTTTTAGGAAACTCATTTTAATGAGATTGTATCTATTGACTCAATAAGGCTTCAAAATTATCATTAATAATATCTTTTTTTTTTATTCCAGAGCGATAGAAGAATTGGGTGGGTTAGAAACAGAAGACGAGTATCCTTATGAAGGTGAAGACGATAAGTGCACGTACAATAAAACGCTTTCTAAGGTTCAGATTTCGGGTGCGGTGAACATATCTTCTAACGAAACAGATATGGCCAAGTGGTTGGTCCAAAATGGTCCAATATCCATTGGTGAGTAGATATATAACTCATTAACTGTTCTCACGACTTTCCCCTCGTAAAATATAGCTTAAGCGTATGATATAGCTGGTAGGTGAAATTTTTTTAAAATCAGTCCTGTAGTCACGGAGCCTATTCGATGCAATCAAACAAACAATCAAATCTTTCTTGTAAGTTTAAGCGCATCTTCGACGACGGCGATGGTAATTCTCTAATATCTACTAAATTATTTTAGTGTAAAATCACACTTAAAATTTTATGTACATATTATTTTTTTGCCAATTTTCTGGCACCAAAACACCTTTCTTTTTGTAGCGATGATATAAATATAAGTAGGTAAAAATGCCTACGTATATCTCTCTCTCGCATCTCTTGATAAAAATTCTGTTAATGGGTAGCTCTGTCAAGATTTGTTGAACTTTGGCTTAAATTTCTATATGTTAATTTACTTTTTCGTTTTTTTTAGGCATAAACGCGAACGCGATGCAGTTCTATGTGGGCGGCGTGTCACATCCCTGGAAGGCGCTTTGCAACCCCAAAAATATCGACCATGGTGTGCTAATCGTTGGCTATGGAATTAAAGGTTAGTTAATGATCTCTGCTATAAGTTCTGCTATAAATTGTGATACTATGTACCATTTACACTAGGTTTGTAGCCGAGAAAGTCCATTAAGCTGTCCAGTATTGACTTGTGTAAATCAAGTTAGTAACCAAGCCAGTCCAATGAAATAGAACGATTTCTAATTTTATCAGATCGGTTTATGGGAATGTTTCGGCCTCGTGTAAATGGTCCATATCATCAGCTTGGCTATTCTGTTAAAATAACAACGTCAAAGCCTGTGTCGAACACAACGTTGCCGCAGCATTAGACGTTTAACCTACTACGGCTTGAACGTCTAATGCTACGGCAGTGCTTATTTCGACGTTGTATTTTTAATAACATGCCATTGCAAATCAATGTATTATAATAAATGTTCTTTAGAAATGAAACTTGTTATGCTGTATTATATTATTAAAACCATATCTAATACAAAAATTACACAGCATTACGTACATTACTCGGGAGCAATGTAGCTAATGATCTCCTATTATGGAAAAGAACAGCGAAAGTACCAAAAATTCCATTTTCTATATTGATCAGTTCGGGAAACGAATGCAGGTCGTCAGAAATGGCGAAATCTTGAAACCGGCGTATAAGTCAATATACCACAGAAGTAGTCCTAACTAATCAATTATCTTTTCATTATCATCTAAATGCGCTTTCTACCGTATTGATATAGGCCTCTTTAAATCATCTCCATCTGTTATGGGTAACTTGAATCGAGTTTGCTCACCTTACTTGCCATATCGTCCTTTGGCTTATTCCGTTTATCTACCCTGAAACAGCCACCCAAAGGTGGATACTCGGAAACGCGTGTTTATCTATCCACACTGAACGGGATAGATAACAGGAATCCGTATCATAATTTTATTTCCGATGTACTCCCCCGCCTGTGTACAGTCATTTAAAAAAACGTATCAAACCCAGCCCAAGATACTTGGTACCTAATATTAAATGATTTAATTTGTAAAAATTTTTAAATACACGATAGAAGCGTTTGTGTGGTAAATAATTTTATTCCACTGTACTTGGGGTTAAAAATCGGAAGAACATTCAAAAGTGACTTCCATCTATCCACCCGGTTCAGGGTGGATAGATGAACACGCGTTTCCGAATATCAACCTTAGGGTGGCTCTTTCAGGGTGGAAAAACGGAATAATCCCGTCCTTTCACTATAACTCGTTATTAAAAATGTTACTTTGTGATTAAAAAAGATTTTTAAACACATTTCATTTTTATCCTTTTGTGTTGTTGAAAGTTATGCCTGCGGTCGACTGACTGTAGTAGTTGTTAAATTTTAATTGGGCTTAAAGGGTCATTTGATTGCACTAGAAATATAATCGTTCAGTAATAAAGAATATTTTGACTTTATATTTAGTTTTTCTGTACGAAATGTACAGATTTTTTCAAAATCTGTGTATACAGTTAAGAACATTTTAAAAAGTTATCATGTAACGTAATGGTTAAATACCTGCTTATACTGTATACAAAAATATGTTCATTAAAATATGAAGTCACTTTCCATTACAATATTAGAAAATATTAGAGTAAAACAGTATATTCGTCAATCGAATCACATGTGTAGTCAAAGAAGCTCACTGATAAACAATTTAATATACATTAAAATGTGCCATATTTAACACCAAGCAGTTTTGTCGTTTCTTTCGAAAACCTCAAACCATGAAGCTTCTATGTCGGCATATATAAAACGGCAATATCATACTTTAACCCCTTATATTAGTAAAAAATTAAAACTTTAAAATGACAACACTTCAATCTCGTCGTAGTGCATGTTATGTTTATACATTTATTTCAACAAGGAAGACTAATTGCCGAATTTCAAGATTATACATTATATTACAATATTTCACACTTTATTATATTTACTAATGTATGTTATTATGATGAGTATATAAAAACTACTTAAAATCTACACCCAGAATACCCGCTGTTCAAGAAGGAATTGCCTTATTGGATTGTGAAGAACTCCTGGGGTCCACAGTGGGGAGAGCAGGGTTACTATCGCGTGTACCGTGGCGATGGCACATGTGGCGTCAATACCATGGCTTCCAGCGCTATTGTTTAACATAAAAATAATTGTATATAGACATCGCTTAATAATAAATCGCTGCTATCACGAAAACATACAAACGAGAAAATCCATATTAGAATAGAAAATTAAAATTATAATCACGCGACTATTATATTATTACAGTATGGAATTTCTGCTACAAACACTATTGTTTGTAGTCTACGTGGTGGGTTACTATTATAATAAAAACGTACATATAATACATATTTTTGACTAATAAACTGCTTTAAAATGTTTTATTGTATAGTAAAATTATTATTACTGCTTTAAAATGTATATTAAAATTATTGTTGATTTCCATGCGCACTATCCATAAATGAAACAACTTAAGTGAACACAAAACCTGTAAAGGGTCAGAAACGTTAATACAAACGCAATGAAACCGTTTAAAAGTTGTTTCATTTATTTAAACAGCAATGAGACCATGACAAAATGTCTTATACAAGACAAGCATTAAAAAAAGAATTAATAAGCAAGTTAAATAGTTTATTCAAACATAAGCTCTAATTGAGCGCTCTCTATTCTTTATTAGAAATGTCAATTTAACTATGTGTAAAGTTAAAACTATTAAATGCAATTGTTAAATACAAAGGCTGGTTTCGTGCCTAATTAATATTTTGATATTCTATACAAGAAGTAAGTATTTGAATTCGTATAAAGTTTTTAATTACATAATACGTAACAATAGTCGAAGCTTTGAGTTTAGCTTTGTTACACTTTCTCAATGGTGTTCATATCATGTTAACAAAACATATTTGGATTAAAGTTTGCTGTAGGATTGTTATTCAAAGGAATCAAACCACCAGAATTCAATGTTTGCGAGTAGAATGAGAGACATAATCTCATTTTTTTAATGTTTTAATAAATAATACTTATAAGTTATGATCGGACGTGTCAATCTCATTTTTTTAGGATTATTCATAAGTTTGAAATTAATTAATTCTTCAAACATGACCAACTGTAAATTATTATTGGAATTTACATTTAATTAATTTTAAACTATATTTTCTTACTAATAACGAATCTTATGATTTCTATATTTGTATTGTATATGTTTCTATAAAACCCCGATGCTCGGTAAATCTTGAAAATGGTAAAAGTTCGAATTCATTATGTGAACATTATTCATTTAGAACTTTTACCATCATGCACTCTGTAAATCTTATTATTTACCTCAGGGACATGGTAAATGTTAAAAGACAACTTCAAAAATACAAAAAAGGTATACATTTTTGTGCAACTAGTAATTCTACTCGTAATGTTATGTTAGCATACTGTTCTTATGAATATAAACTATAATTAAATAGGTACATTATTTGATTATTGATTATGATATATTGTAATGATAATTAGAAATATTGACAATTAAAAATATAGAAAAGTACTTGAAAAAGACAAAGAATATATAAACAATAAGTTTTATTTTCAATACTATACATATACCAACTGTCATTAGTCAAATTAACCACTTCTTAAATGTGATAGTAAAAGCCTGAAAAAGCTCTTTCATAAAATTCTTACATTTACCAACCCACTTTGGAAAGTCCCAAGATTTACTAGTAATACCTAAGATTCACCAACATACTGGCTTTTTCAGTAACTATAACATATTTGTATGCTTTTACTCCTGTACTCATTAACTAGTCTAACGTACCTTATATCGTTTTCTTCACGATGATTTATTGTTATTTCAAAATATAGATAAGTAAGTGAATAATTTGTTATGTAAGTAAAATTATGATATGTGATGTTATTTTATGAATTCCATTGAATAAATAATTTTGCAACATATGTATGGACGTTTTTTTTAAATTTTATTGTAAGAAAAAAAAATTTCTAATCATAATTGAATCTAGGACGAAGTAAGTTACTTGGTTGGCCCTTGTGTCCAATAAATCTTCTGGGTTGTATTGAGTTCCTAATTGCATTACTGTCATTTTTAAGGGTTTACACATTAATCAGGGGAATATATTCGTATAAAAAATTAAGTATTCTACACCACAGATAATTAATGTACTTGGTCTTCTCGTTATAAATTGTAGTTTATCAGAACACGATTTCTTTGTTCAGATTCAATTTGAAATTAGTGGTTATAGATTAGGAACCCTCTTTATTTTATTGATCGTAATGTCTTAAATCGATTGCAAAAACTTCACTATTGTAGAGACGATCTATTGCTGTGCTGTATCGATTGCTGCTGTTTTTACACATAATTAGGCTGTTATATTTCTTTTGTTTTCACCGTTGTAGAGTAGAATTTAGAATTAATCGTCATACCTATGTTGATTTTATTTATCATTAATGCTGCTATCGAATCGAGGTGAACTTTAATGAATTTTCATTACATTTTAAGATACTGGTGTGCCGAGATTCATGCGTTCATACAAACAATTCTAAAATTCCTTGCGTCGTTCGACGTGTTTCGATTAGAATTTAAGTGCGTTAAAAATTAATGTTACTCAACATTTACTTACAAGAAATACAGTTGTAGGAAAATAGCGCAGTCCTTTAGAAATGGGGTCACAATCACATGCGACCTCGATCCAATACACTCCCGTAGCGAGTCATTGAAGACCAAATATACTTCTTATATCGAAACCGTAAGGTTCACTTTTGCTCTAAATCAACATGACATTGTGCTGTACAACATAGTCTTGTAAACATTGCTTTTAGAAACTTTCGAGGACTTGAGCTTAAAACATTCTTGATGGTGCTAATGTCTTGCTGGTTTGTCTTACTTGACAAACTGTGAACTTCACTTTGAGAAGAAAACGTGATTATAATTGTATAGGTACGTTATCTGCTAGCTCATTGGTAGAATATTTAACTAATTTCAATTTAATGGCTAGATATGCTAAATAACTATAGGAAATTTACTTTTACTGCATAGGCTTGTTAAAAGATGACAGTCAAAACGAGTGAAATTTTCTCGGTAGATAAAATAAGTTACATCGCATTAAAGGTATCTAATATCTGTAGAGGAGTTCGGTGCCGCTGTGGTAAGTGCAATTTTCGTAAAGGCCGGTCATAAGATGGTGACTAAAACTTTTATTATCTCTTGTTCATCCATGCTTCGGAAGGCACGTTAAGCTGTTTGTCCCTGCTGTATCTACAGTTGTTAACACCTAACAATCCGCACTAAGTTCTGCGTGGTGGGTCATGCATGGCCATTAAAATCAATTGCTTTGAATACTGAATATTGAACAGCATTCAAATATGTTATTGTATATTTTAAATTGTTTTACTATAGTCGCTATGCTGTAGTTATTTTATAGATAGTATAAAACAAAGTTGCTTCGCGCTGTCTGTAAGCTGAGATCTTAACTCTCTACTACACAACGGATTTTTGTTTCACAAGTTTCAATAACCGATGATATATAATGGGAAATGGGGCCTATGGTTATATATATTATAGATCACATTGTACGTTGATTTATATTGCTATATGACAATTAGGCTATTTGATAATAGAGCTTTTGACACGGCGCGGGGAGGGAAGACCGCGTCGTATAACGTATATTACGTCGTTCGACGTACAATATTATATTAGCTATATAGCAATTTTCTTATTATGTATTTTAATCTATCATTAGCATCAGTGGAAAAGTATTATATGATCTACCATGCGGTCCCAGTGAGGATTGGTGAGTATAAACGATTGTGGATACAAACGTGACCAAGGGCTTAACGTGCATTTATAATTCCAATCCATGTCCAATACATTTGTGTCCCGATCTGATTAGTGACCACCTAACTCTCTAGCCATGATTCTAGCCATATGATACAACAATATAGCGATGTATATCGATATTTTTTTTATGTTCCTACTTTGGTATTCTTTTTGTTGGTCTCTTGGTGAATAAATGAGTAAGTTAGTAATACTACTGTCAATTCACAATCATAATTCTTTCTGTTATTTTCGTTTGTTCTTAAAGTATATGTCAAAGTAGTAAAGTGAAACGAAATATCGATATGACATGGTTACATTATGTGGTATCCTACGGCTAGACAGTTCCTCGATCGGACTCCTGTACTGATGTAGCTGAAGCTGTAATGCTTTGTGTATTATGCAATAAAGCGTTTGTATCTATAAGATAAAAACGCTTTATTGCATAATACACAAAGCATTATGAAATAAAACCGTTTCGAAAGTAGTTTTGCATAATAGGCGGCCTTATCGCTGATGAACGATTTCGAAGAATGGGACCTATGTTTATGTGGTAAAATGGATTAAGAATTGTTTTGAATGTGTATTGAAAATGATTTATCGATTGGTATCATTATTAAATAAACACGAATGTCAATTTCTTACTAAAAATTAAGGAAACAAGTTGTCTTACGGTTTGGTTAAACACAATTTTCATTGCAGTTTGTCTTAAGTTATTTAAAAATGTTCTACTGAACATTTTTCCGATTGCCAGAAGAATTTTATTCAGCCAAGCCTTTAATTTTGTTTCTTTTATTTTTAGTTAGAGTTTCGACAGTCATATTTTTTTTATTAATTTTTAAATAATTTGATACTTACATTGCTATAATTAATTAATTTTTGTTCCATGATTTTTTAAATAGTGTCCTACAACCATCATATTGAATATTTTAAAAAATATAGCTGGTGTCACTCGGGATGATGAAACTTGAAACACTATACCTACATTTATATTCGTTAAGTCTTTCAAAAGTTATGATGGAATAAAGAAACTCAGACAGGTAAATATAATATATTAAACCTAAACACAGTAAACTCCTTTTTTTGGGCAATCGTATAAGAGAGGTAAGGTTTGATTGCTTGTATGAATTCAGAGGCACCGGAACTACTGGACTGATTTAAAAAAGCAATGATATTAATATGTCTAGATACGCAATACATACCAAAAATCTGAAGCTACTAAAAGTAAGACGTTTGTCTTAGTTTTTTCGTTTTGCACTTCATTACTCATTCAACTCCCGCCAAGAAAGTACAAAAAAAATGCTCCGTAAAAACAAAGAAATACAGTAGATAAAATTCGATTCTCTTTCACAAATACACATAATACGAAATAATATTAAGTTTCACACTTAAGTCATTAACATTTTTGGCAATAAATACAAAATTAAAGCTAGGTTATAAAATAAAAATATTTATTTTTTTTCAAATTAAATTTCGACATTTTGTCGTCAGTGTTGCCACTGCTATTCACTTTCAATTTTCCCAAGTATATGGGAACCTTTTCTTTTTAATTAACGTGGCTATAATTTATCTAAATATCTTTTTATAATTAATCATATAGCTCAGCTTAAGTATAGGCAACTGCGCTAATTCTGTTGATAATTTTTTTATTCATGCACACAGATGCTAATGTAGTTTAATTTTTTCAATGCGTGGAATAATTCTTTAGTTGTCGAGATACAACTTTTGAAAATACGTAAAATTGTTTGTTTGATGTTTTATGAACTTTAACAAATGTTTTTGTCTTAACCACTAACTTTATCGAAAAACAAAGGGATATATATGCACAGAGCCTAATTTCGTAATTGTTTTTTTTTTTCAAAGTTTTTGCAAAGAAATTTTCAAAGTTACAGTATTTTACTAATTGATTTTATACATATATCTACACTACTCGTTCATTCATTCATTCATCACAATGGGTGAAATTTTCGACTGCTGGCAATACAATATCAATTACCCATTTTTCCGTTCATTCTGTCGTTCGCACATATTCTGTCTTTGTTTAATTTAAAGTTTAATCGTAGATATGAGGGAGACAAATATAATAAATCTATTTATATTATATAGTATAAATATTATTTGCTACGTCCTGATTTCGAAAAAGTGCTACGCTTTTTGGCGCGTCTGTTGTATGGGATTGCTTCTCTAGTTATTAAACTCATTGTAAAAAAGTATTTTAATTATTTCAGCTACATCATACGCGAGTGTAACCATGAATATTGTAATGATGTATTTCCATCTCTGAGGATAGTACGATTCCCGGTCAGGTCAATAAAGAATGAATCTTTCTAAAATTGTCTCCGGTCTGGGCGTTGTGATACCTTCGTTGTTTATGTTTTCCATAATACCTACAGGTGCTTTAGCTACTCAACTTAGTACCTAATTATGTGATATTGTCTAATATTTATTAGTCGTTCAATTTATTCAATATATAGAGCCTAACTGAGAAATAAACAAACGAAATAGGAAAACCAAGTATCCGTAAGACTAGCAATTTGCTCGTGTCCATGTCTCTCTCTTGTGCTCCATTTGACATAACCCCAGTAATTGAAAGGGCTCTGCATCCCAGTCACAGCGGCCAATCACACGCCTTGCCTACGATATCTTCATGGATAGTTGAAGGTCATTTTAGATGCGCTAGAAAAATATTCCAGATTCCAGCTATATTAAAGGTTTTAAAAAATAAATCTTTATTTATTTTATATATTAAGGTATAAAGTACGTAGTGTTTTCTTGAACTCCACCTACGTAAATCTAAATCTCGTTTAAATTTGACAATCTCTTCAATGACAATGAAATTTTTGGTACAGTAATTAAATTCATAATTTTAATAATAAATATTCCAAGAAGTGAGTTTCTTTATTCCATCATAACTTTTGAGAGACTTAACGAATATAAATATATAGTGTTTCATGTTCCATCATTCCGAATGAAACTAGCTATATTTTTTAAAATAGTCAATATGGCGGATGTACGACGCCATTAAAAAAATATTCATTGATTATAGCAAAATGAGTATCGAATTAAAGATCTCGATGTGCACGACTGGAAGTCGTCCCCTAAAAAGGAGTGTATTTTATACACACTCCTAAAAAGGAGTGTATTTTATACACACTCCTTTTAAGTGCTCCCTTAAAGGAATAAAATAATTTAAAAATTAATAAAAAACAGGACTATCGGAAATGAACTAAAACTAAAAGAAACAAAATAAAGGGCTTGGATAAACATAATTCTCATTGCAGTCGGTCTTAGGTTATATATGTTCCACTGAACGGTTTCCGACTGCCAATATTTGCACTAATACTGCTGCTGTCTAGTGGGTATTGTAAGCTTCTTCTTATCTTTTAATGATTACTTTCCGTCTCTGTCAACTGCAATTCTGCCAACTTCACGTAGAGGATTAAATGATCTATATTAAACCGAAGAATTTAACTAAAAATTCTTCGGTTAATTACCAATAATTTTTTCCATGCGTTTACCCAGAACTACAAGATAAGAATTATTTCAATAGTCAGCTAAATTTATTTTTGTCCAACTTCTTTTTTAATCATAGAAGTTTATTGTATTATTGATAAAAAAGGTTAAAAATCATGGCCAAAGATCATGGTTAAAAGTTAAAAAGAATCATCTTGAGCAAATCCATGACAGACAACGTCAAAACTTTCAAAAAAAAAAAAGTCGATTATCTAATCAAAAACCTACTCCTCTTTATTAAACTGTTTATGTATTTCTTAAATATTTAACAATTTGTAAAATACAAGTGTTATTCATTAAGTAGAGCAAAAATTACAGATATGTTTATCATGAAACCTCATACCCTAAAGTCTGATTCTGGTTCGGTTAAATCGAGTACTTCAGATCAAAAAGGAAGGAAAACAGACGCAGGTACTTATTACGAGGTATTCAGAAATAACACAACTGCAGTGGAAGTGGTAGTCAAAGAGGTTCATAGTAAAACCAAAAATAAAAATATAGAAACGGAATATCAAACACATAAACGATCAAAAACTAATATTGAGGATCTACAAGAAGAAATAGACAATTTGAAACGTGAGCTAGCTAGAACACATATTGCTCTAATGAAAACGAAAAAAGGTTTTAGAAGTGTTGTTTTAGAAATGAAAAAGCAACTAGACATGGTAAACAGCCAGGAAGTAGAAAAACAGAAAGAAAACTTAGTCTTGCAACTAGAAAATGAGAGATTAAAAACACTATTGGACTTTAAAACAAATGTAATAAACAGATTTAAAAAGGAACTGAATATTATAAAGAGGTTATTGAAATATACTATAAAAAGTGTAAACTTCGCTCCTCAGGTAACGGAGAACGTACCTCTCAGTTCTGATACGGAATACGATGAATTCGAAAGTGATTTGAAGAAAAATCTTCATGTTAAATTCGTTACAAAAGTGTTAGACAGCATGGGAACTACAATTGATAGCTCTTTATCAAAAAGTTTAAAAGATTCTTTTGATGTTAAGTGATGTTACCAAACATTTTCTTTAATATTTTTTGTGTGATAATTTCTGTGGGTACCTTTTTTGTTTTAAAATATTATATACTACAATAAAAAGTCATGAATGTTATATAATTTTAAAGATTTTATTAAACAAGCTGTAATAGTAGATACCAAATAATAAAATGGACCATTGTAATTTGGTATTTATTGGAACTACATATACCTATAAAGGCAAAACATCGCAATGTATTTCTGCAGTATCCCATTGATATTATAAAGGCAAAAGTTTATGGGTTTGGATATTTGTTACTTCTTCATGAAAAAACTACTGATCGGATTTTGATGAAGTTTGATATAAAGGCAATTCTAAGTCTGGATAAACACATAGGCTACTTTTTATCCCACTCAAAGGCTCCATAGGGATAGAAGTACCTCCAAGGGCGCATCTTTTTATTAACGCTGCCTAAATGGTAAGAGATATACGAATGATTGCTAAAGAATAATTGGATATCTTTAAATTATCTATAAAATAGTCTGCGATGGCAAATGTCTATGTGCTATGATATGGCCACAAAACTTCATATAAGATGTATTTAAAATTTTTGTACGTCTTTAACTGTTGATTTGAGTAGGTCATAATAAATCCTTATCGAAATAAATATGTTTATCGTCAAAGAAATATAATGTAAATAAAATTGCCTTTTACACCAAATAAATTGGATGAGTAGTTAAGATTTTACTATGATGTTTTGAGAAAAAAATAAAGATTTTCTAATAACTATTTTGTGTGCATGTAATAATAATAATCTTTTATTTTACATAGTTATACATGAGACTACTCCAGCAAGTAAAAGGAATAATTGTGTTGGAGATGTCTCGCACTTACCATTTTTTTAAAGAAAAAACAGCGATACATAATTTACATAAAAAATTTAATATTTTTTTTTATTGTAGTATTTTAGTGTGTGTGTGTGTGCGTGAGTGTGTGTGTGTGGGCATGCACTTATGTGAGTGTATATGTGAACGTGCATATTTCTTATGATCTCATAAAGGCACCAGCAAGTTTTATACTATTTCATAGGTCAGTTTTTCAAGCCAATCTGCAACTGCTTTTTTACATATATGATGTTGCATAGGATATATGCTTCATTTTAAATTTAGTTGATTATAAACTACTGCAGACTGAGCGGAAAACTGACGCTGAGCAAATACTGTACGAACCGCAGAGATGAGAATGATTTTCCCCTTACGTCTCCTACAGCTCTTAGTAGGATTGAAAGGCAACACTTTGTGTGTTTTTAGAGTTACAGATAAAACTCCACTCAAAGTGTTAGAGTTCACTCGTAGCGAAACTGTATGACTTGAAGTTCATGACTTTTAATAAAGTCCTTTGGGCCCTCCCAAGATACAGGAATTTAGTTTTGCTATTTTAATAATGTACGAGTATCTATTACTATTTTAAAATGTCAATTCACACTTGCTCAGAAACTTGGAAGATTAATTAAAGTAATATATTCTGGCCCAATAAAATAATAGAAATAAACATGAGCTGTGTGCATATTCTGTGGTATTCCACGGAAACGACATTGTCAAAAAGCCGGGCAAGTGCGAGTCGAATTTTTTGACTGTACCGGAAACGAGAAAAAAAATGTTGGTTTTATGGCAACCCCTTAAATAATAATTTTATTTTGATTATTTTTTTTTGGATTTGTTATTATAGCGCCAACAGGAATACATCATCTGTGGAAATTTCAATTGTCTTAATATCACGGTTCATCAGATACAGTCTGATGACAGACGGAGGGACGGACAGCGGAGTCTTAGTATTTGAGTATCTAACGTTGAGGATGACGAGGATAATGTATTACTATTGTTATTTAAAATGTGTACGTATAACATACTTTGCAGTCTTTTAACTTCTACTTAATTATATCATACTCGACAAACGGTTAAGGGCTTGAAAGACAATTTTATGTTGGTTACCAGAAAAACCATCCTCTCGGAATAGGTACTATCGCCTTCACTTTGGCATCAATCTTATGAGGTATGTAGCTACCAAGAGTTGTGATATTTTTACAACTTTACTTGTTTTACCAGTGGTACTCTTTGTTCGTTTATTATCGTTACTAATAATAAGAAAGCAAAAGTAACTCAGTTTGAAACTATATAGATGAACTTATCTATCAATAGTGTCAAGAGCCCATAATAAGATATAAATATATTTCATATCAGAATCCTAGGAAGGAAAGGAAAAACGAATAGAAGTTTCTATGGGGAATCATTTTTTACTCACATTCTTATAGATGCGTCTACTTTATCCTAAAACCAATATTTAGTTTTTATATTAATAAAAAAAATGAAAATTATAATACATATTTCTTAAACGAAAAATATATATTTTTTATGTCTTAATAATTGTATTTTCAATGATGGAAGTAAACCCGTTTTATTACGTATTTAACTAGCTTCAGCTGCCATAACGTAGAATCCCGAATTCCTGGAAACCTTACGAGACATGAAAAGAAGATAATTGTATGTTTTAGTGTAGTATATAATCTACCTGTATTATATTCTATCAGTATATTTTTCATGTAAATCCATCTTTCTAGCATCACTAAGTAGGTAACAATCACACATATATTATCAAAAGGACTACTTTTATGTTTTCTTGCTATTAATATTTTTTATAATGGACTTAGTTTATTAGAATGATGGCTTCTGCATCCACAGGTATCCATAAGAATCAATTCCGGAATGCAAGCGGCTGACCTGGTTGCCAGGGCGCACGCCTGCATGACCGGGTCACCGCGTGACCGGGTCGTGCGGTCACAGCTCGCTCGCTCCCGTTACCCGGTTTCCCAGTACACCCGGCTCACCCGGCTACATGAGTTCTATTTTATCGGATTTGAAGCTTTTTAAGAACGCTTTAGAGCATAAACTGGGTGTCTGTTGCGACGAGGGGCATTCAAAATGTTTCACTTTAATTATCATCTTATACTTCGAAGCTTACGACGTTATTTTACCTACAAATGGTGTTTAATTTAAGCCGTCTTCGTTTTATTATTTCAGCTTTAAGCGAGCCAGTTACATATCTAATTCTATCTCATTTCTAAGGGTGAAATGTTGTATTGGGTTGGCATGAAAGTTCTGGAGTAAATACTTTTTTTATACTGTTGCTTTTTAGATCTTACAAGTTGGAAATTTAATAAAATGTTCATGGTTACAAAATTACTCTTGAAACTTTTGTAGTATAGGAATTATTGGACCATTCGTAAAAGGTGATGCTGGTGCCGAGTCTGGTGGGTGTAGATGACAGGGCAATTTATCCCAACCAAGCTTCTCAGCAAATTTGAATTACTCTCGATTCTCACTTGGATTATTTCAGAAAGCTGATAGAATAAACGAACTCTCAGAAATTCAATCAATCAATCAATTCAATCTCAAGAAATTAGAATGCCTAAAACTTTTCCTATTCACTGACTAGGTAAAGCTTTACCAACCTTCCCTGGCGCCCAGAAACTGGTTTGCTACCCCTGGCCCAGAACCTGGGTACGCCTATGACTGTTTAATATATCAAATGTAAGGGCTTATTATTGGAATAACATTGTTTTTTATTTTAAATAAATAGTTAAATGTTGTAAAAATAGTTGCGAAAATTAGACAGAAAATATTTCTTTACGTGATATAAATATATAAATCCGTTTTACAAGTAAAAAAAGACTTACAAGTTTGTGATTACAGGAACTTGTAAGTCTTTTTTAAAACGGATTTTACGGATTGTAAAACGGATCCTATATACCTTACTATAAAGCGCGTTTTGTTATCGTAAAACTCCCACATATAATATTGGTAGGTACTAGCATAAATGTACAAGTTACCACAAAAACTCATATTCTCCATACTATTCCATATTTAATTATATATTTTCCGGCTAGGTAGTTTTTGAAAGCCGAATTGAAGGTCCGGGTTCTAAGAAATCAACCAGAATATGTTATGACTGAAATTAAAATTTATTATAGAAGTTGTTTTCTAACACTAAGTTCAGAAGTCATGTTTCAAAGAATAAAAAAAAACAGCAAACGCACACTTGGGCAAGGTCATCGTTTTGAAATTTAAAATATAGATACTACAAAAAGGTCGGTACGGTTTGAGCACGTTCTCGTTCTTCGATTGCAAATCAAATATTCAATCGGGTTTTTCAATTTCATTGATTTTATCTTTGCAACTGTTCTAAAGTTTGGATGTAGGTGAGTGACCTAGATATTTCGTGGTAAGACACACCATTCACCTTGAAACAGATATATAGAAAGTTTCAGCTTCCAGATTCTGAATGACCCAGTTATATAAAACATGAAAAGCAGTAATTATAAAGAGATAATATTGTTTACTTCTAGTTGTTATTGAAACATTTAATATTTAGCAAATTAATACGATTAGTTGGCTAAAAGTAGATGAAATAGAATGGGAGCCAATATTTGCATCTAAGAAACAATAGTAGCATCTCTGAGGATCCTAATAGCATATTGGTTAGACCGAGCGGTCTGTGAAATGATTATAAAGCAACTTTCGCAAGGGCTGGCCATAGGATGGTTAACTAAAAATTTATTATATCGAGCTACTCCGTGCTTCAGAAGGCACGTTAAGCCAACGGGACCAACGGGTCCCGGATGCATCTGCAGTCATCAACTCCAAACAATCTGCACCCGCGTGATGAGTGAGTCCCCTATTCAGTCTGTGATGAGTTGCATCTGTCCTTAGTTGGCCAAATTTAGCACAAGTTAGTTGATGGTATTAACCCTCAGAGGCACTAGAGGAAGTATTTTTTTACTGAATAACTTATTCGTTATTCAGATATTCATTATCATTATAATTGCTGAAGTGAAATATTCTTTAATATATTAAATATTAATTAAAGTGTATGCAACTAAAAACTATAGTAGCTGCCAAATTCGTGCCGTAAGTGATGTCAACGTAACGATATTGAACGATTTATAAGTAAAAAAAAAATAGTGAAATGGTATGCTCAATTCTGATTCTGGTGTTGTCAATGAATTTCAGTCCTACAGTAACGTATTTTGATATGCTGCGACCTATAACATTTTAGAGACAAAAATTGTGAATTTTAAAATTTTATTCGATAATTGCCTCTTTTTAATTCTTCAAAAGACTGCATCATCACCGTCATGTTCACTCTACGAATCGTTGACCGATTCTCAAATATCTTATGTTATTTTATGCGTCAACTTATGGGAATTAGATTATGTAGATCACTTCCTAAATAAGATAATTTATTAATTAAATATAGATGACAAAATCATACATATGACATGGTCACAGGATGACCCCGATGTACTTTATAGCAACCTTTTTTATCTCACAAAGAATGAATTCAATCGGGCTTTTCCTTCTAAAACGAAGAAAATTATTACACATCAAACTATAGTTTTGTGACTGGGCTAGTGGTATTTATAAAATCAGAAACAGTCTATATGAGTTGTACACTCGTAGAAAGCATAACCATTCTGTAATATTCATAGGCATGTAAAAGATTACTCCAAACTATTCAAGAAAGTATATGTATTAGCGAAGTCAAATTATATTAGAGACAAATTAAACAATCCTATAATAAAATCAAAACTACTTGGAATATTATTAATCATGAAACTGGTAAAAATAGACCACATGACGATGTCTTGGCACTTAATTTCAAAACGAGCTTATTAAAACTCCTGAAGGGATTTCCAATATTTTGACGATTTTTCATAAATTTACCGATCACGACAACTTCTTATTTCAATTCTTCGCCGGAGGCAGTAATGGATATACTTAGGAAATATGTACCAAAATATGATACCTTATTTAAGTTCAAATACATTGATTCGTTAGATGTTATTTAAGGTTTCAAATTAATAAAAATAAAAAAATCACTTATGAATAATGGGGTATATCAGTAAATAGAATTAAGAGTATAATTAATATAATTGTTTCCTATTTTGGTGATATTTTCAACCACTGTATCGCTGAGGGTATTTTCCCCAATCTCATGAAATTTAGTAAGTAAGATTTTTGAAAAACTTATTGTGGAACGACTAATATCGTAGGTACTTTAATTCCAACGAACTTTTGCATACTAAACAATGCGGTTTTACCAAGGGTCGTTCGACAACACATGCGGGTGTAGCGCTACTAAAACATATAAGTATTTAAAGCATGGAAGGCATCGTAAAACGGTCTCGGAGTGTTTTGCGATTTGTCCAAAGCATTCGATTGCGTTGAGCATCAAACATTGTCGTTTAAACTGAATTACTACGGTATAAAAGTTGCTGCTTAACACAAACAGTGGATATAAATGCGAAGTGCATGCGAAGTCGTCGAGGTCTCATGTAAAAATAGGCGCTCCGCAAAGCTCCATCTTAGGCCCATTTCTATTTTTAATATGATATACCATTTCTTGTTAAAAACCTATGTGAGATCATGTTGCTTGCAGATGTCACTTCATTGATATTTACCATTGACAGCAATAAGTATAATTTGACGATTTAAAAAATGCTCTCTTGCTCGCTCGAGTGTTAGCTTGGTTCACAGTTCTTCAATTGAATACTGAAAATAACCAAATGTATAAAATATATTAGATAATACAATAGAATCAATTGAAATTAAACTCAACAATGAACATTTAGAGTAAGTTCCACAAAATTTTTTGGCATAACACTAGATTCAAACTGGAATGGAACCCGCACATTTCTATATTAGCTGATAAACTCAATAAATAAGACAAATTACCGCTTAAGAAACTGCCTGGACAGTGTACTTAAGTTATTACACAG